CTCGCTATGCGAGGCACCACTGTACTTGCATTTGCATGCTTTCAAACCACTAGGTTGGAGGGAAATTGGACAAGCGACGGGAGCTCACTCCGTCACGTGGATTCAATCTTACGACTGCTTGGTCTTCTGACCCTGCAGCACAGGCTTCTGCGGTTTAGCCCGCAGCGCCACCACGTCCCACTGCCTCCTGGAGTTTGGTCAAATTCATGTTGGTAGCTTCGATGACACTTTCCAACCATCTCGTCCTCTGTCATCCCCTTCTCCTCTTGCCTTCACACTTTCCCAACATCAGGGTCTTTTCCAGGGACACATGTCAGACCTTTAGTCATTTTGATGCCCAAAGGAGGAGGATACTTTCCTGCTTTCTTAATTCTGTTGCTGTGCCTTCCTATTGGCATAACTTGCATTTAAAGCTATGTAGGAAAGAGTACATTTTAAATTACCAGCAAGAGACTATGTTACAGCACAGCCTCCAACACAAGTCTTAAGATGTTCTCAAGATTCTCTGCCACTGAGGCAAACTCCCCCCATGGGGGGGGGGGTTGCTATGAATTCAAGAGAGAAAAGTATAGTTCAACATTTAGTATTATGATTTCTGTTATTTGGAGAATTGGGAAAAGATTGTATCTATGGTTTCCTTAGTATGAATCTTTTAGAATCATAGTATGGCATGTAGTAATGTACCTACTATCATCTCCTCATATATATATATCTGTGTTAAACTGTAGTTTGTGCATGTGGATGAAACCAGAGTGCACTTTAGTTCTATCTTCCAAGTCAACCATCTTCCCATGCCCCAAAATAACTCTTTTTTCCAAATTAAGTGCAGAGTGCAACACACACACACACTCCTCCCAAAGTTGTAATGTTTCGTATTTCAGCGAACACTATTGAGTGGGCAAGATTAAAGTGAAGTCATTTACCAGGAGTTACAGTTTTGAAAAGTTGAAAAAACCCAGTGTAAAACTGATCTAGCAAAATACATTCTATAATAAGAAGCAAAAACTCCAATAAACTGGCTGGCTGACAGAATATCAACACATATTTTATGTTGCTTTCCAGATGAAAAATCTACCGCTTCTAACAGAATAGAGGGATTCTTCGTAATGAAATGTACCAAGCAGTATGAAAAAATTAAAAGAAACTGCTTATCACAGGTTGCAGTCTATTATAATAAAAAGGGGAAAAACAAGACATCAGCAAAGTCACATTGGCCACCTAATGTTAAAGCATTGCTGATATTTTTTCAGAAAAGTACAAACAGGAAATCACCGAGAAATAAATGAAATGAAGATTTCAATAACATTTTTTGTCTTTATGTAAAAAAAAAAATTTTGTTTGGATGACTCAAAAGAATTTAACAAATCAGTTATTGGCTTTCACATAAAAGTTCAATGGTCCACTATGGAACACATAACCTTTGTTTGGTGGGGACTAGATATGGAGGTATTTGTATGTGTATACAAATATCCCCCCACAGGTGCACATAACAAGGGTCCGGCCCCCTGCAGCCAGACCATCCACTCACAGTTCCGCCACTGCCGCAAGCTTCACAGAGCCTTCCTATTGCTCCGTTGCTCGCCATAGATTAGCCAGTCCTGGCAGAAGGCGGGATGACAAGCCTCTCTGCCAGGTCACAGAGTGGCTAATACATCATAAGCAACGTGGAGCTTATGGCAGTGGCGGAATCATGAGTGGACCATCTGGCCCCATGGGGCCGGACCCTCATTATCTCCACCTGTGGAGGCATATTCATATACGAATACCTCCATCTCTAGTGGGGATATGAGAGACGGCCTTCTCTGTTGCTGCTCCGACTCCTGAAACGCCCTCCCACAGGAAGCCAAGAAACCCCCACCTTTGCTGTCCTTCCACAAGTAGATGAAGACCTTTCTCTTCAGACAGGCTTTCCCTTAATGACTGGCTGTCTGAGAGGGTTTTTTAAAGAAGTGTTGTGCCATTGTTTTACATGTGTTTTTAGTATTTAATTTATTTTCAGTTTTTAATATATTTGTTTAATTCTTTTTAAATGTTTACATTTACTGTTTTTAGCTTTTAAATACTGTCTTTTAATGATCTAAGCCCCCATGAGCTGTTTTTTAAAGGAAAAAATGGAGAAAAATATTTTAAATAACTAAATAAGTCCCTCTGTAACTTATACAACTAGGTGGTTTGCAGTTTTTTCTCCAATCATATATTGCTTACTTACTTAAAACACACTGCAGTAATTTTGTGGCTATATTATACTATCAAATCCTCTCTAAGCAGATATTTTCAGAACTTGTATCTCATTAAGACAGCAGCATAGGTGACCCGTGGTAATCCATTCAGCTCCTCAAACAACAATTACACTGGAGACTGAGAAATTAAGAAAAGATCTAAGGTCATACATCTTATGACACAAGTTTTATTTTCTTATTTTTATCTCCCCAGGGCATAGTATTTTCTAAATGGACATGTACATTATACTGGAATTATAATGCCTGCCCTATACCAAACACACTTTAACTAAATGAGAGGCTCCTAACATAATCTTGTAAAGACAGAGCCATATCAATTGCTTCTCTGAAGCAATCCATACCTTGCCAACTAAAGCAGGAATATTCATGGAGTTCGTTGCAAATCCCATTCCATATGCCAATGCAGACTCTACACCCAGGTATCTGGCCAATAAAGTTTCCAGTTCCTCATGCTTGTCCAAGTTTCCTGTATTGGAATTTAAAAAAATAGTTCAAGATGGGTGAAAACTGCTTGTAATAGTTCCTTTAATGCTAAACAGTGCAATTGCTAGGGTTAAGACAAACTGAATGGAGAATATGCAATCACTTAGGAAAAAGGTATACTAATTGCTACCCTATTTCCCCCAAAATAAGACCTAACCTGAAAATAAGTCCTAGTATGATTTTTCAGGATGCTTGTAATATAAGCCCTACCCCAAAAATAAGCCCCAGTTAAGTGAAACCTCGCCTTCCACCATTGTGCAGCAACCAGAAGATCACGACTGTATTTGAATAAATGTAGACTGTTGTACATGAAAAAAAATAAAATATCCCCTGAAAATAAGCCCTAATGCATTTTTAGAGCAAAAAATAATATAAGACACTTATTTTCGGGGGAACACGGTATATTATGGTTTGCAAAATTCAGATGATTAAATGTATTCAGATTCCCAATCCCTCTTCTACACTTACCCATCTCTTGCCTGGTGCTGCACACCCCACTTCCACACTGTAAAAGAACTTCAGACACTGCATCCTTAGAAGCTCCTGTGTTCTCTGCAAATCCAAGGTAGTTGTAGGATCCCATATTAATTATGTCTTTCATTACTCTTCCTGTGTACCTATATGTTTTGTAAAAACATAGTATGTTAAGGTATGGAAGGCATTAACAATTTTGAACATTTTAACTACTGCCAAACACTGCAATCTAGCCAGAGACCAGAATTCTTTTACTTATGCCTGCCAAATAATGTAACTGATATACATCTTAGTAGTGAATTGCCACAAGTTACAAAATCATACTGTAATTGATATTTATTGTTGCATGAGAGCTCTGAGATTTGGAGAACAGCGAATGCCTATGCTGGCTTCTCACTTTCGATACTGAAATGTACATCAACTGAAATGCACCGGTATAAAAATGTAATAGAATTTCAGCCAGTATATGAAAAAAAGACAAATAGGCATCCAATAGTTTCAACTTCCTGGCAATTGCTCTATGCTATATTACAAAGCACATGTAACATGCAAGAAAACCAACCCATCTTGTAATACAGTGGTGCCTCGACTTATGACCGCCCCTACTTATGTTCAATTCGACTTAACAGCTCCAGTCGCAAAATTTTGCTTCTACTTGCAACTGGAGCTTCCACTTATGAACAGAAAAAGGCAGCGAAAAAAGGCAGGAAATTCAAATTGCTAACTGTAAGTGGTGAAAGAGGCTGCTTCTTTGTAGCTCTTTCGCCCCAATGGTTAGAGTGAGTGCGATCGAGGAGGGACTGCCTGGTTTCTGCTACTCAGTGAGCATGTGTATGTTTGCAGGGAGCGTTGGGACTGCCTGTTAGGTAAGGTACAGTGCTGTTTTCTGCTTTTTAAAAACTGTTTTGAGTGGTTTTGCAGCATAGCTTTAAGATAGGGGGGTTATGTTTCTATGATGTGATGGGCCTTGGGGGGTTTGTTTGTTTTTTTGGGTTCCCCCTACTTCCAATGGGTCTTGGGGGGTTTGGTTGCTTTTTGGGTCCCCCCCCCATTTCTGATGGATCCTGCATGCTTCCCTTGCTTTTTTCTTTGTTTTCTTAGCATTTCTACTGTACTTTGTCCCTCTGTTCTCTGTGCACTTCCAATCTGCTCCGTTTGTTTTCTGTGCATTTGTAATGGGTCTTGCATGTTTGATTGCTTTTCTTCCCCTCGTCCCTGCAGCCCGAAGGGATTAACTGCATTTCCAATGAGTCTTGCAGTGATTTTTTTGGTGATTTTTGTCTTCAGCCGGAATGGATGAATGGGGTTTCAATGCATTCCTATGGGAAATAGTGCTTCGAATTATGACAATTTCAAGTTATATCCATCTTCTGGAACGGATTATGGTCATAAGTCGAGGCACCAATGTACAGAGAAAAAGGCATCATGAAAAAGATATTGAAGGTCTACTGGTCACAATGTATTATTAGTTGGATTCCATTCAAAATCTCCAAAAGATTTCATGTGCTAAAGTAGCCACCTATATGCGCTCTCTGTTCCACAGCTCAGTTGACTCAGCAAGCCTTCTCTCATTATAGCAGAACAACTGTAAACTAAAGCTCCCTTTCAACATAATTGACTCTATTCAAGAAAAAACACATGTAAAATACATTGGATAGTAGATCTGCAGATGTTCTTTGAATGGTCCCTTAAGAATTAAAACATAGTGCCAATAGCATTTTAAAACAGCTTGCTATTTGATCATTTCTAACTTTTTGTCACTTTCTCAAGCAGGATGTCTTCAAGATGCACAAAGAAAAGTACACAGTACATTTGGAAGCCAGTAAATTGCTGTAATCAGCAGCAAAACTAAAGCCATTCTTTGCTAAAAGTATGCTAACTATACTCTTAAAGGACTATGACAAATGCAACAACTACGAGGTTTACTCAACAAACTGTTTCAATGTAAAACCATGTCAGTCTTGCATCTAAAATACCCCATACTGCCTCCCAAACATAATTTTAAGATCCACCCTTTTGTGCTCTCTAAGTAGCATAACAAGACAAATTTACTATGTTTTGTAGGACCCCCAGCTAAGCTGTACCCCCGCATACCTTCAGCATTGAAAAAAATGCATTTTGGCCAAGAGAGGTCACAAGGGAGCTACATTTTTTAAATGTAAACCTATTTTCACTTCTCAAAGAGCTACAGTTGCAACACTTGCAGTACATAACCAATGTTTTAATTTTTAACAAATGAATTAAGAATGCAAATTGGCTCTTTTTAGTTCCATCACCTTGGGAATGTAGCCTTTGGGTTGCCAGCAAATCTGAAAAATGGCCCTTGGCCTTGCTGGTACTGCCTAAACATAGTCTAAAAGCTCTTGGCAAACTGTTGCCTCTGTTTGCTTTGGGACACACAGACTGCATACTATACCATTGTAGATCACTTTCTATTCTAGGTAAGGCCACAGAAACTTAGGCACATTAAAGGAAACAATGGCAGAATTTACTTTTTATTGCTTTGTGTTAGTCTAGCCCAACCCTAGTGGAATCCTAGTAGAATATTGCAGATGTCTACTGCATCTTTTCACTCAGAGTTCAGCAGGATTTGACTTGGTATTACCATATTTTTCCATCTATAAAACACCATCATGTATAAGATTCCCTCCCCCCGCTTTTCTAACCCCAAATTAAGAAAAATTAGCTTGACGTATTCCATGTCTGAGCTCAGAATACTCAGACATTACCAGTCCCTGTTGAATCTGAGCAACGTCTACAGGCTCCATCTCCAATGAGGTGTGTTGCAATTGGTTTATGCAGCATCAGATGACATCAGTTATATAAGGCTCGTGATTGGAGGAAGCTAAGCCTCGTGATAGGAAGCAGTTTGTTTGCAGATGCAAGGTACGGGCCATTTTGTTCTCTTCTCAGCTTACTTCCGTGTATAAGACAACCCTCAATTTTTAGTCTAAAGATTTTTGAAAAAATTTATCATCTTATACACAGAAAAATATGGTAAATTTAATTGAAATTTAACTACAGACACAAAAATATATACAGTGCACTTGTCTTCCAAAGTAAAGGCATTCTAGCATTAATCTTCATGAATATGCATAAGTAGATAATCAACAGGCCCCAAAGCCCTATGGCATACAAGGAAGAAACAAGTTTGGAGGATACACTAGACAGAAATTCAAAAATCAATGGACATGACTATGTGATCAAATTACACCTACAGTACATTCTTGTCTTATTCTGTAGCATTACAATGTTACCTGCTCATGGCTTAAAAGAATTAGAGGCAAACCATGCAAGGAGAAGTGGTCAATAACCATTATGTAACATGAACAAGACATGGATGATCAGGGAGTGGAAACCAAGCCTTATGAGGAAAGGCTGAAGGAATTGGGCATGTTTAGCCTTGAGAAAAGAAGGCTGACGGGTGATATGATAACACTTTTCAAATATTTGAAAGGCTGTCATACAGAAGAGGGGCAAATTCTGTTCTCGACCATCCCAGAGTGCAGGACACACAACAATGGGCTCAAGTGAAAGGAAACCAGATTTCGGTTGAATATCAGGAAAAACATCCGGTTAGAGCAGTACAACAGTGGAACCAGTTACTTTGGGAGTTGGTGAGTGCTCCAATGCTGGAGGCATTCAAGGAAAACATCAATAATCACTTTTCTATGAATCTATGGCTGCTAGCACGCTTGTGAAACTGCTGACCATAACTAATTAACATGTTATTTCTATACATGCCATTCAACAGTAAACTATTATATATAATCAAAGTACTGTATTTTTTCATCTATAAGATGCTACTTTTTCCTTAAATCATTACCCTAAAAATTGAGGGGCATCTTTTACGCAGAAGCTAAGATAGCTCAGATAACAAAATGGCAGACACATTACCTCTGTAAATCAGAGCTTCCTTCAGCCATGAGGCTTAGTTTCCCAGAGTCAGGAGACTTAGCTTCCTCTAATCACGAGCCTTACGGAACTGACGTCAGCTGATCCTTAACAAACCAACTGGAACACACTTCCTTGGAGGTGGAGCTTGTAGGCTCAAGATTCAACGGAGGAAAAAATGTCCAACATTCTTAGCACAGAGGCCGAATGCTCAAAGCTGTTTTCTTAATTTTGGGGTTAGAAAATTGAGGGGGTGTCTTATAAATGGGACGTAGTGGCACTACAGGTTAAACCGCAAAACCTCTGGGCTGCAAGGTCAAAAGACCAGTAGTTCGAATCCATGCAACGGAGTGAGCTCCTGCCGCTTGTCCCAGCTCCTGCCAACCTAGCAGTTCGAAAGCATGTAAACGGAAGTAGATAAATAGGTACCACCACGGTGGGAAGGTAACGGCGTTCTGTGTCTAGTCACGCTGGCTACGTGACCGCAGAAACTGTCTATGGACAAACGCTGGCTTTATGGCTTGGAAACGGGAATGAGCACCACCCCCTAGAGTTGGACACGACTCGACAATTGTCAAGGGGAACCTTTACCTTATAAATGGGGACATGCTATAAATGGAAAAATACGGTACAACTGGCTTGAGATTTGTGACATAGCTGTCTACAAAAGATAGGGAAGGTACTAGCATTTGATTTCAGAAAGCAGGTGTAATCCCACAGTAGAGGGATTTCTCAAGGCTAAACAAAAAATTTTTAGATGTGGCATAAAATAGTCGTGGGCAATTACTGTGTTCCATATACTTTCTACAGAGGACATGATCTACTTAAAACCACATTTCAATGTCCCACAAAGTCTTCCAAAAGTTAGCTACCTACAACCTTTTGAAAACCTTTTTACTCACGTGAATGTCCAATTGTAGTCATGAGTGACCCTCTCCAGAATGTCTACTTTGGCTCCTGGTACACTACAGAGTGGTCTGTTCCAGCTATCCCTAATGCGCATGTAGAGGTTCCTTGTGTAGAAGTTCTCAAAATCCTGGTATAGAGGGACAAAGTCCTGAAACATGGAAAATGTATTAAAATAATAGAAAAGATAAAGTCTAACATTCTCCCCGCCTCCAATCTGTCAAACAGGGGAAAAGCAACAAACTCACTTAATATTCAGTGCAGCTGCAAGTTTTCCTCCCCAAAATGATCACATCCTCAAAATGATAAAGATCTCACATGCCCACTAACCTAGAAACTTGATCAGTTTTAAATGAGTAATCTTTTAAATGTTATTATATGTTTCTCTTTTTAACATTATTATTTAATTATATTTTTAGTTCTGTGGTTTTTAATCATATATGAGCTCCCTTAGGCTCCTACACTGAGAAAAAAGAGATACAGGAATGAATTAATGAATGAAGAGGAGCCCCACAGATATAATCACCACATTCCAAAGTAACCATCCATTCCCAGTAATAGTTCAATTCGTCACACTTAGGCTTGTAGTACTCAGTAGCGTGCATTGCATGAATCTTATTTCAGTGATTCCAAGAGGCTTACAGGCCTCACTCTGAGAAATCTCAAGTTTTAATTACAGTGGTGCCTCGCTTAGCGATGTTAATTCGTTTCGCAAAAATCGCTGCAGAACTAAAACGTCGCTATGCGATATTAAAAAGCCCATAGAAACGCACTGAAACCCCTTCAATGTGTTCCTATGGGCTTAAAACTCACAGTTGAGGGAAGATCCTCTATAGCGCTGCCATTTTTGGTGCCTCTAAAGCGAGGAATCCGTCCCTAAACACAGCCGGCGCCCATGTTTTTTCCCAGCGGCCATTTTGAAACCGCCGATCAGCTGTGCGAAAATGGGGACTTTGTGATGATCACTTCCCTGCGATCATCGCAACGCGAAAATACCCCATTGAGAACATCGCAAAGCGATCACTTTTGCGATCGCAAAAATAGCGTTGCTAAGCAATTTCATCGCTAAATGGAGTGATCGCTAAGCGAGGCACCACTGTATTTATAGCAATGGTTCCCAACCTTGTATCTGCAGATGTTCTTGGACTAAAACTCCCCAAAGCTTTCTCAGCTAGCTGTGCTGGCCCGGATGCTTAAGAACTGCTGTCCAAGAAAATCTGTGGACCCAAGTTTAGGAACCACTGGTTTATAGGCTTACTCTAGGAACTAGCTACAAAGGCAAGTAAACATGGGAGAAGAAATAATGCCATTAATTTCAACTTGGATTTTCTTTACTCCCTCCCAGGAGAGGCTATTTGTATAGCTTTTAACATTTTTAATAAGGTTTTGGAATTTTAGTCAGATTTTCCTCAATGTTTCAGTTTTACATTTCACTTTCAAAAATGATGGTTTAAAAGGAAAACGGAATGTTTATGTGTTAAACTGAATACTGAACGCCTATCAAACACTGAAAGACTGTTCTAAATGAAAGAGAACTATGCGTGAGGCTAACTTTTAAATTTAAACTTAAATTTAAACACAAGAAGTAAATCGATTTTACACTGTTGGTGACGCTCACAGGACCCAAGGACAAGTCAGGTCCTCAGAATGACTGAATCCGGATGTGTTTCTAAACAAGATAATCCACTGAATACAAATAAAAATATCTTGTACTCCTGTCTTATATATACAAAAATAATGAATATTCATTGTTCTGCAAAAAAAATCAGAATTGTTCCCCATCCCATGGAAAAATACTGTTTTCCAAAGTCATTAACATCCCTCAGTCTGGAAAGTTATAGACACTTGCTTCAGTGCAAATCTGATGTATATTTACTTCAAAGCAGTTTCTACTTTACAGAAAATAATTATGTCACCTTTCACAATAAAAATAGCATAGCAGTTTCTGAAATATTATTAAGTGGGTTTTGTGCATAGGACTACAGCTTTCATCTTCAACTAAGCAATCGAGAAAAGCAACGTAAGATTTTGTGGTGCTGCTGGAAAGGACTGATATACAGTGGTGCCTCGCACAACGAGCGCCCCGTAGAGCGATGGCCCCAATAGGCGAAAATCGCAGAACGAAGGTTGGTAAGCTGCTCGCTTACCGACCTTCGCTTTGCGACCCGCCGATCAGCTGTTCCGCGGCTTCAAAATGGCCGCCGGAACAGCCGAAAGGGCCGGG